TAATGTCCTCCATGCTATTCCTTATGTTCCACAAATAAGTGAAACCATATGATAATTGACTTTCTCTGCTTGACTTATTTCACTTAGCATAATCTGTTTAAAATTTTGTTTGAATCTGATTACTTCCCTTAGGGTATGGTTATATATTTATATTGCTCTTTTGGTCAAAGGGCATCAGTATTTTTACACTCTTTTGAATATCACCAAATTATTTTGAGAATGGTGTTTACTCCAATATTTACTTCTGCAAATACTTATAAGAATGCCAAAAAGAAGCAAGTATTATTTAAAAAAAATTTTTTTTTCTAAATATTTATTTTAGAGAGCGAGCGCATGCACTGGAGGAGAGGCAGAGGGGGAGGGAGAGGGACAAGCATACTCCACCCTGAGTGCAGAGGCTGATGTGGTGCTGGATCTCAGGACTCTGAGATCATGACCTAAGCTGAAATCAGGAGCAGGTAACTCAACCGACTGAGCCACCCCGGTGCCCCAACAGTTTTTATTTTTTAAAAGCTAATTTGTTAAGGAAAGTGTAGTATGTCATTGTTTTAATTAGTGAATCTTTGATTATTAGTGAGTTGAACATTTTTGCACTGTTTATCAGGTTTGGCTTTCATTTTTTATCTAACCTAAATTGTTCATTTTGTTTTAGGTATCCTCTGCTGGTTGAAATGTCTATGATTTTATCTGCGTCAGTCATTCGTGTCAGAGATGGGCTGCCGCTTTCTGCTTCTACTGACTATGAACAAGGCACAGGCGTGCAGGAGTGCAGGAAGTATTTTAAAATGCTCTCGAAGAAACTTGCTCAGCTTCCTGATAGATGTACACTGAAAACTGGACGTTATAACATTAAGTAAGACTTCAGTTTCCTCCATTAGAATCATTTGCCTAGTGGTTGCCTTTTGCATGAAATTTAAGTGGTTGCTGTCAAAAGTAGTGATTGGTTAGTTTAGGAAAGTGTTCAAGTCAAGAATCATGTGGTTCTGAACTAAACAGTAGTCATCATGTAGGAGAGAGCTTCATTATTGAGATGACGCATGAGCCATGTCCTGAAGAATAGTAAGATTTGGCTAAGACAGAGAAGAGGGCATTCCAAGTATAGAGAGGAGAAGCAGAATAAGTAAAGAATGACTTGGCCTTGGGGGTGTATTCACCTGTTTGGTGTAGTGAATGGTGATTTAGGGATAGTTACGGGAAATGTGAGATAATTAGTGTGGGGCCAGATCCTGGATTTCCCTGCAAGTTCAGACTGAGGGATGTCACTTTGATGTAATAGGTTATAGGAAGCTGTTACTGCAGGTTTGAGGGAAGTGACTTGCTAAAAAACAATGCTGGGGCGGTGAAATAGAAAGTCTGAGAGAGATTAACTTATAATTAGGACCTGACCTAGTAAGATGTAAGTGCAAATGAAAAAGAAAATGCCAGTCACAAAGACACTTCAAAAGAAGAAATGGTTAAGCCTGATAAGATGGAATGCCAGAGATGAAGAGATGGAATACCAAAGATGACTTTGAAGCCTTGGAATTGGACAGAATGAGCTCTTTGGGAAGGGTTGCTTATAGGGGTGAAGAAGAAGAGAAAGATAACTAAGCACGATTTTGAATATTTTACTTGAGGTTGTGACTAGGCAGCCCAATTGAGATGGGATAGAGATTTTGGAATCATTCACATAGAAGTTGAAACTGTGAGGGTAGTAATGCCCACTGAGTTTCTGAGAGGCCAGAATAGAACTTTAGAGAATGTCCATAATTACTTAGATTAACTAGGTAATGGTAAGATAATGAGCTTTTATCTTAAACTGGGTTTTTAAAGGGTTTAACTGGAAGATGTGGTGATGATGGTTAAAATGTATCTAAAATTATGTCTAACCTATTTCTGTTTTATGGAGAAAAACTTGCAACATTTTAATATTCTATTTAATAGGCTCTTTTAGTACCCTTGGTCGTTATTCTGAGTTTCAGTTGATACTGTATAGTACTGTAGACCTATGTCAACATTATAGAAGATTGTTTGAACATATATTAATTCTGACAGATACCCTGGACTTGAAAGAACAATTTTTTGCAAATATTTTTCTTCCTCTCTCTTACTCTCTTAAGAGTATCATGTGGTAAATTTTTAACACCCCTCCAATTCTAATTGTTTTGAATTCTAGATTATGTATTATTTCTTTGTACCCCGTCTTATTCCACAAAGGATGTGAGGCAGTTCACAAAAAAAAAAATAATTCAAGAGCATAGGAAAGAGAATCACATGAAAGTAGAGATAAAGATAGGAGAATAATAAACTGAAGTAACATTTCCTTCTGGAGATGCAACTACATAGTCCATTCATTTGTTGGAAAAGGGCTGGAAATATTTCTCTGAGCTTCCTCATGGCCAAAACAAAGGAGGATAATGAATCATTTACAGGATTCGGTGTCCATTGGATAAAAACATTGCTCTTCATGTTCCTGAGACCTGATGTACGTAAAGAGGGGCAGCATTTGGATAGCATTCTTCCAGCAGCCATAACAATGAGCTTTTTATGATTTTTCTTAATATCCCTTAGTGTAAGCAAATATCACGATACAAAAAAGCAATTTTATGAGACAGTTTAGGAGTGAGATGGATCAGCAGTGGTCTAATCTGGCCTGATCTAAGAATACAATTTAGAAATGTCTAAAGGAATAAATAGACTACATGGCCTTCAGAACCACTCAGAGAAAAGCCTCTATGCATGTTATTTTTGTAATTAAGTTTTTTTTTTTTTAAAGATTTTATTTATTTATTTGAGAGAGAGAGAATGAGAGAGAACACATGAGAGGGGATAGGGTCAGAGGGCAAAGCAGACT